CAGATCTATTTTTGTTTATCCTTCTGTTTAGTTTGAACTGAATTAGCTCATGATCACTTGAACCAAGGTTGTCCCCTACAACATTTCTTCTATGAGGTCCTCACCACTCACCAAAACCAAATCTAAAATTACATCACCTCTTGTCGGTTCAGCAACTACTTGGTGAAGGAATCCATCAGCTATCGCATCCAGGAAAATCTGAGCCCTATTATTATTACTAGCACTTGTCCTCCAGTCTATATCTGGGAAGTTAAAGTCTCCTATGATCACACAATTCCCAGTTGTATTTACCTCATTAAAAACATTAAAGAGGTCTCTATCTATATCCAGATCGGGTCCTGGCAGTCCATAGAACACCCTAAGCACTATTCCGGAGAGGCTCTAGTAGCTTTCTTCCCCAATGTGATTTTTGCAGCAGACACTTATCTATTCCATCACTTATTTCTTTACACTCTCTACCTCATCATTGATAGACAATGCTACTCTACCACCTTTGCCTTTATTTCTGTCTTTCCTAAGCAGCACATATCCTTCAATATCTGTAGTCCAGTCATGACTACTATTCTACCATGTTTCAGTTATCCCTGTAATATCTGGTTTCACTTCCTGCACCAGTAACTCTAGTTCCTCCATTTTGTTATCTAGGCTCCTCACATTGGTGTACAAACATCTTAATTTTTGCTGTTTGGCCTCGCTCACATTCTTTACCCAATTAGGCACAGACATCCTACTGCCAGTATCACCTATTAGACTGGTATGTACACTACCCTTCCTCCTTATGTCCATTCTCCTACCCATGGCTGTATCTTTTCTTTCTTTTGTTTTCTTCCCTCTCAATGTTAAAATCCGGCGTGGAGATTACCTGAACAACTCCCAACCATCTCCCTCAGATTCCTAGTTTAAAGCTCTCTTGATTTGTTGTTTCAGAGTAACAGCCGTGTTAGTCTGTATTTGCAAAAAGAAAAGGAGTACTTGTGGCACCTTAGAAACTAACCAATTTATTTGAGCATAAGCTTTCGTGAGCTACAGCTCACTTCATCCGATGAAGTGAGCTGTAGCTCACGAAAGCTTATGCTCAAATGGGTTAGTCTCTAAGGTGCCACAAGTACTCCTTTTCTTGATCTGTTGTGCCATCCTCCATCCTAGAAGTCTATTTCCCTCCTTACTCAGGTGAAGTCCATCCCAAGAGAACAGTCCTCTGTCCATGAATGCTTCCCAGTGGCCATACATCCCAAAGCTCTCCTTATAGCACCAGTGCCTGAGCCATCTGTTGAGCATCATAATCTTATCACACCTTTGTTGCCCTTCTCTAGGAACAATATCTTTGCTCAGTTTCAACCCTACAACCACCATCTCCAGCAGAGACAGAGGCTAAGATTCCATATGTGACACTGGTGAGTGAGAACACTCAACCACTGCTTTTCCTAAAGGATAACTAGAGGGATTATAATTTATTAAGAATTTTATACATTAAAAAAATTCAAGCAGTTTTTAGAAATACTGACCTCTTCCAAAATGTCAACACTGATTTGTGCACCACAGTGAGGGCTGTTATCTTTCTGATATTTCCTAAGAGGGGATATGGTCAATGGATTTACCCTGTACCCTTAAACAGGGGCTGCTGTGAACAATGTCGTCTCCAAAGTTATATTGAGCTTGATGAGCAAAAGAAAGGGGACTGGCTGTCTTTCTGTGGTGTTTTCTCCATTTTTGTGTCTCGGGGAGCTTCTCTATCCTTCCTCTTGTCCCATTTTCCAGAGGTCTGGCCAGTATCAGAGCCCACAGCCAATGGATCTGTTTTTTAATCCCCATTTTTAGAAGGAAGAGGCCATTATACCACCCAATATGTGGACAGGAAGTGGGTTGTCATTTGCCCTCAGGCCTCTGTGCATGTGTAAGTCTTCCAGCTCTGGTGCCACTCCCTCAGGACTATCATGGTGAACCTGTTGCTCCATGGAGGAGAGGAGTCCTCAGAATGTTTCCCATTCTTCTAGCTTTGCTTCCTGCCTCTGCTCCTCAGTGTGGAGGCTCGTAGCACCAAATCAGCTGAAGGACAGCCCATTGCAGGCTCACAGCAATCTGCTGAGCAGACACCTATTCAAGCACATCCTATGCTTCAACCAAGCTTCCCTGTGGTTTTGCAGGCTGCTCCGTGACCCATTCTAGCAACCCCTTAGTCAGCAGCATTCTATGTGGCCATGGTCTGGTGATATGAATGGCTCCTGCTTTGAGAATTTCTGCAGTAGGCGTGGATACTTTCCCTTTATGAGAATATTTTCAGTCTTCCAATGACTTACCTGGGTTCTAACCCCACTGCTGCTGTGGAGTGAACCATGAAATTCTAGATGGCAATGGATTTTTGTATGGTATGGTTTCCTGCCTGTTGTACAATTGTCTGTACATTACAGTTTAATTTTGTGATCTTGCTTATAAAAAGTGGGAAAATAATTGCATTTATATATCATGTTTAATCTGAGGATCCCAAAGCACCTTTTCAAACACTAAATTTCACAATAGACCTCTGAAGTGTCTACATATTATAATCATTCCACTATTTGGGTAAACTAAAGCACAAAGAGGCTAAGGATCTGATCTAAAGCCCATTGAATTCAGTGGTCTACATTTTCAAAAGCAACAATTTTGGGTGCCTCAGATTTAGGGTGTCCAACCTGAGACACCTTACAGATGATTTCATGAAAGTGCAGAGAACCCAGCTCATGAAAATCAGGTTCTTTGGGTAACTCAAGTTGGGCATCAAAAATGGAGGCATCTAAATCACTAGTGACTCTTGAAAATTTAGGCCATTCACACCCTAAGTGACTGACCAAAAGTCATGCACTGGCTAGTTTGAGCAACAATCCCTTACTCCTAACATTTTAGGACTTGAGTTTTCAAAATGCTGACCAGCCAAAACACCATGAAAAGTCCATGAGAGCTGTGGGTGTTCATTGCCTCTTAAAATACGCCCATTACATTTTAAAATTATACCATTTAACTTAGAATTTGGCCAACCCCTCACCACCTGGCCCCCAAGAAACTAAATGAAGTTATACTGACTTTGATTAACTAATCGATAGCTATTGGTGTGGAGAGAATGCATATCTGCACAGGCTTAATTTTGTGCAGCTTGAAATGGTTGACACATTGCAACTCGGAAATCCAGGCAAATATATATAAATATGCAAAATATTAGGTTCTGATATTAATTTAAACACTTGTAAAAATAGCTGGTAGACATGTTCAGTACATATTTTTGTTATGAAGAGAGTGTGGCTGCTCCAAAACTGTGTTGTTTTTTTCCCAAGATACTAAAAGGCACCAGATTTTCCTCCTTTCTTCCTTCTTCTTTTGCAGTCTCTTACAAATTTTATTACTTTTAATTAATACTTACATTTAGCTATGTTTCAGAAGAACACGCCGATGAAATTGCTAAAACTTTGTTATTCTGATATTCCCTTGTTTAAAAACAGTTTAAATAATTTGTTCTCCCTTTTTTCTATACAGAAATAGACATCTGAGCCACTAATTTGTTTCAGAGTGGTAACCGTGTTAGTCTGTGTCAGCAGAAAGAACGAGGAGTACTTGTGGCACCTTAGACTAACAAATTTATTTGAGCATAAGCTTTCGTGGGCTAAAGCCCACTTCATCAGATGCATGCAGTGGAAAATACAGTAGGAAGATCTATCCATCTATCTTCTATCCACACAGAACATGAAAAAATGGGGGTTGCCATACCAACTCTGATTATCACTACAAAAGTTTGTTTTTTTCTCCTGCTGATAATAGCCCACCTTAAGCGATTGGTCTCGTTAAGAGTTGGTATGGCAACACCCATTTTTTCATTTTGTGTGTGTGAGGGAGGGAGTTCCACTGCATGCATCTGATGAAGTGGGCTTTGGCCCACAAAAGCTTATGCTCAAATGTGTTAGTCTCTAAGGTGCCACAAGTACGCCTCGTTCTTTCTACAGATTTGTTTGCCGCCTTTGAGGCTATTCAAATGTAGAAGAGCTGAGTTAGGGGCCCCTGGCAATTGGGGGCTATAATAGAGATGCTGACATACTTATTTATAGTTTGGTGAGGCTACCAGGCACTGCAAATAACACATTTCACTCAAAGTTACATTGACTTTAAGTAATAGCTGTAGCTAAAAAGCTTTTTAAAGCATGTATTAACACAGTTCATGTGTAGATGCGTTTGTTAGTCCTAGCCAGGATACCAAGCCAGTGATTGCCCAGATATTATTCTGCTTTACTTCAAAGACACAGAATTGTTTTATCTAATCGTCTGCCTTAATTACTTTAAACATACTGACAAGCACAGTTGACCAATTAATAGAGCTTATGCTCTTCTTATATCATTTGTTATCCAGGATGCTCTTCCTTCTTGTAATTTTTGCCTTTCAATTTTTCATGACTTAAAAATGGAGACTATACATAACGAATACAAATAACAAATTGATTAAATGTAACATACATTGTAACACTAGCTAGATTTTCATTTGTTAATTATAGAGAGATCTGGCAAATTCTCATGAAAACACTCATGTCATAGAGCAATCTAGATCTAACAGCTATAGCAGTACAGCTGACCATCTTCCTTTTCACATGTGCTTTGCAACAGAAAATAGGAAGGCCAACATTGTCAAAAGTGGCCACAGATCTGCGGTTTGTTAATTTTTGTGTGCTAATTGGAGACACCATCAGTCTGATTTTCAGAACATGCTGAGCACCCACTAATGAACTCACCCCTCAGCAGCTCTGAAAATTTGTCTGTAATGTCCCAAATACAGACAAGCCTTAGGTCCTGCTTGATCCAGGAAATCCAAATGAGTTGACAGACCTTTTCAGTGAGATGGTGTGGCTGCAAAGGTGTCTCTGCTCATTTGGAATCCACAGCTCTTTGCAGGAAGGAGCCTTTGTAAATACTAGGAATACTGAGGAACTGGGCCTGTAAATATGTAGGGATTTTTATTTGGGTACATTGAGACAGAAGTTACTTACTTCAGATCATGCAGTGAATCAGTGGTAGAGCATGGATAGCCCCCAGCCATTTCTTCCAGCAATCCTCAGATGGGGTAAATTTTCATAGCTGTATTCACTTCAGTGCCAATTTTCATCAACTCAGTCGGCTCACCCCAGGTCACCCACTGCAACACAACTGCCTGATAAATACAAGAGTTCATTTTCTTTCCATTCAAATGTTATAGACAATAAGCATCAGTATTACTAGCCTCAATTTAGAAAGTTAACTGACAATGAAGCCCCATTATTTAATTCCTCATATTTCTGTGGTGGGTATTTTTTGTTTTTTTTTGTTTTTTTTAAACCTTAGGAATATAAATCTGGGTTTTCCTGATTTTGCTGCATGTTTTCTTGAAGGTAAAGAGAGCTGGAATTGGCTTTTTCTCTGTTTATAATTGAGAGAGTGAAGTGATTTAACAATTTTTTTTTCTCCTACCAGTTTTAGACATTTAAATTTAATAAGGGTTAACCAAAAAAAAAAAAAGCCAAGCATTTAAAAACTGTCTGACAAACTATTTTCATTTCTCAACTGCTCATATTTTCACTTTTCTTGGTGCAGTACTTGTGAGGTCATAATCCTATTAGTTCTGTTTTGGTTGAGTTTTTCAGGGTAAAATAGGGTAAACAAGGCCTGACTCTTAATGTAAGAAATAAGCAGAAATGAATGCACTCTCACAAACATGTTCAGGTCTCCTTCGTACACCACAACGAAGCAAAAAAGACAAACACTATTTTCCCCCCTTTACCTCTCATCTTTACTATATACTTATGATCAGAATAATTCAATTCTATTATGGTATGTTAAGGCATATTACCTGTCTGTCCAGCCATTCATCCAGGTACTTCTCTGGCCCCCCTTCACTATATTATCTGAGCATCTCCCACATATTAAACAAAATAATCTCTCATGCCCTTTTATTCCTGCCCAGCCTGTAAGAGAATAGTTTAATTAGTTGTAGAGGTTTTGAGGGCAGGTGTTTTGTTTTGTTCTGTTGTGCTTGGTGGTTGGTTTTTTGCAGCAAGGGAGAGAGATTTGTTCAGTTTTTGAGAAAGTGAGATTTATCTTTGGAGAATCGTGTCATACCAAAATGAAAACTATTTTTAATACACATCATTTTGAAAGGCAGACTCCCTTTTTAAATGCTTGGAATTAATTTTTTTTAAATGGCCTGGAATTCATGACAGCTGTATGGAAAAGCCGTACACCTCTACAATCATAAAAACACATTTAAACACCCCAAGCAAAATGGATGCCACATTTTAGTTTATTATTCCTAGTAGAGTACAGATTGGTCTTCCTACTTTGATATTTATTTATACCAAAGAGCTACAAGAACATAAATGCCACTCTTGGGATAATCCTAATGCTAGGGATCAGATAGAAAACACATTGCATCTGCCTTTATTAGCAATAAAATGAAGGAGTGTTTAGGTATAATCCTCCTAATAAAGGACATAGTTGAAGGTCAAGTGTAGTCTTCAGAATGAACGTGTCAGGGAAAATCTATACCTTTTTATGTAAAACTAGACCTCTTTTTCTTGAAATAACTAACCAGGGAGAAAATAAAAACCTAATTCCTTGGTTCTGTTGTTCGTTTCTCTTCAGGGCCACTTACAGGTGTATTCAAAAAGATTCTGTGCACTTCAAGACTTCGGTGCTCACATGAAAAATTATTGTTTTGTTGCTAGACAAAAAGCTGCCGCCTTTCGCACTCAGTGAAGTAGCGAGCTCGATGGCAAGGATGGTTCTCTCTGAGGCCAGCACACCGCTTCGCACCAGAACATTTATTGATATGGGAAAATACCCGCTTTTATCGAAAGACTGTGTTAAATAGGTAGGAGATGTGCAGGGCAGTACATACCGAATAACAGGGAACAGAATCTTGACAAAGGAAAATGTCAACTAAAATAAACACCTAGCAGTAGGCTGACCCTGCACCATGCCCACAGGCTGCTATGAGATTGCCACAGAGTCACTTGTAATAACTTTTTTGCTAGTTATTGTCTGGAAGTATATCATCACCTGAAGGGCCAGAGGGTGACTTCAGACTGTCTGTATATAGCAGAAGAAGGACATACAGAGAGAATTTTACACCTGTGCTCTGACATCTACACTGGCTGCCAGTTCATTTCTGACTGCAAATTTAAGTTGTTGGTTTTCATCTTTACAAGGTCCTCAATGATTTGGGAGCTAGCCACATGAGAGATCACTGCTCTCCTCCTGTGGTACCATGGAGAGTCACCTGAGGGACTCAACTTGACAGCACTCTGGTTTAATCACATGGGGCTTGAGACAAGTGTTTTCAACGTCAGACCCTTGAATTTGAAACTCTTGCCTTAGTTGCCGGGGTCTGAGAGCACCCGAATCTGGGTCATCTTGGAATTCTGTAAGGGCTGTCTGCTTCTTCAGCCTTTCAAGAGGGGGGATAAATTAATAAGCATATTCAAATAAGGTAGGATGGTATTTAGTAATCCTGACACAGTGAAGAGTGAGACTAGTCTGTTACTGACTTATTTCTCAAAAAGAACAGGAGTAGTTGTGGCACCTTAGAGACTAACAAATTTATTTGAGCAGAAGCTTTCGTGAGCTACAGTTCACTTCATCAGATGCATCTGATGAAGTGAGCTGTAGCTCACAAAAGCTTATGCTCAAATTTGTTAGTCTCTCAGGTGCCACAACTACTCCTTTTCTTTTTGCGGATACAGACTAACACGGCTGCTACTCTGAAACCTGATTTATTTCTATGATTCACCATACATACTAACCAAGACCATTTCAGTGGTTCTTATGAAAATCCTTAAATGTACTACTGAAACCCAACAATGAGTCAGGTAACAAGCCTATGGCCAAACCTTAGCAGTCTGGTTCAAGTCTAAAAGCATTTGCTTTATTTAATTAACATGAAAAACAGAGCAAGTCAGTCTCAGAGACAGGACTGGAAATGATTCTTTTGAACATTGTTTTCAGGTTACTGGAGTAGAAGAGGAATGATCCCCAAAATACTGGGCCACTGTCAACCGTAACCACTATCACAAGGTTTTAAAAATGGCTACATTCCAAGGTATAACACACAGATGTATGGAAGATGTATAGTTTGGTCTCAAATGCAAACACAATTCACTGTATTTTGATTTCCTTATGCATTACTCCCATGGATGGCAGAGTGGATGAGCACTGTTAACTGGGGGCTCTTGCTTTTGTGGGAAGTTAAATATAGTGAAAGTTGAAGTCAATGGGAATTGAACCCCTGCAGCAGAAGGCAGGAATAGGCTTCACATTATTTGATTTGGTACCATGTTTTGGCTTACAAGTTCTCTTCTAAGGCAGGCTCTGAATATAGCTGATTATACTAGGTTTCAGAAGGCCTGAAGCCACATGCAGATCAGCTGGTAATAGCTCTTTTGAGAATTTCTCAATCTCTTTTTATATATTTTTGGGTTTGATTTTACTTTAGTTTGCTCAAGCACTTCTTTTTACAGTTCTTTTGAAGCTCTCCTATCTGAAACTGTGGCACTGAAATATGTTGACTGTTATACATTTATCGAAACCAGGGATCATGAGTGATTGAACTGGCTAACTGCCATTCTTGCAGCAATTATTTTTTTTCCTTGTGGATTCTTAGATAATATGCCTCAGGAAGAGTGTGTGTGGTTTTTAATATTATGAATGTTTTGATATTGCGGTAATGATTTTTTCATATTTGATAATAAAACTTTGATATGATAGCAGTGGAAGCCTTGAAGGAGCTTTAATAATCTATTGATTTCATGGGGGGGGGGGTGAGGTTCTTAGCTCTGCAACCATCAGATTTTTATTTTGTGGGGGTTTCTCCTAATGCCTTTGACTACTGTTATGTGCTAAATAAGTGTCTGCCTCTTAAAAACAGTATACAAGGAAAAATATTTAAATGATTCTGTCCAGGTAGAACAAAGTGACTTCAAACAGCACCTCCTGAGTCTAATTCTGCACCATTAAAGTCGATATGTGGCTTGCCATAGATTTCAATGGCCATAGCATCAGGCCCGACTAGGGGATAGTGAGGATGTTTCTAATGCATGGAAGCGATATTCTAATCTATAAAGCAAAATTTGAAAAACAGGTTCAGAAATTAGTATAATTTATGTCATCCAGACTAATCTCTTTAAGGCAAGGACTGGTGTGGTTTTTTTTATTATATACAGTGTCTTGAGCTTTTGGGCACGCACTGGTGTAAAAAAAAAAAAATACAATCTGAATCTATTTGTGGAAGTCCAGCTGATGATAGGCTCTCAAAGGAGGAGGTGGAATCCATTCCACTAGCTTCATCATAGCAATATTTCATAAGAGATAACTTCCAGATGGGAAGATTACATGACAAGGTGGTTAGAAAACTAGACTGCATTCAGGTCTTTGGAAGACAGGACAAAGGAACAAGATTACAGAAGCTAAATAAGGAAACTATTTGCAGTATTAAATTGATCACCAATAAAATGTTAACATTTACCCAGAACTACCACATAGTAACATCTGTAATTCTGCAGTAGGACTTGATCCACAGGAGTCATTCCATTAATTTAACAGGCTTTGCAGTGTCCTTATTTCTTAGACAGAGACTTGGCAACTATTCCATTTTTAAATGGTGTCCCTGGTGATTTAATTCATCTCCTTGAGGGAGAGGATTGTTCCTGAAATATATTTCTTCTGCCTTGTCTGACCTGCCTTTGCTCACACCTTTTGATTTGGGAGACTAGATTCTAACAGGTTTCAGAGGAACAGCCGTGTTAGTCTGTATTTGCAAAAAGAAAAGGAGTACTTGTGGCACCTTAGAGACTAACCAATTTATTTGAGCATGAGCTTTCGTGAGCCACAGCTCACTTCATCAGATGTGTACCGTGGAAACTGCAGCAGACTTTATATACACACAGAGAATATGAAACAATACCTCCTCCCACCCCACTGTCCTGCTGGTAATAGCTTATCTAAAGTGATCAACAGGTGGGCCATTTCCAGCACAAATCCAGGTTTTCTCACCTTGCTAGCACCAGCAGGAGAGTGAATGTGTGTGGGGGGGTGGAGGGTGAGAAAACCTGGATTTGTGCTGGAAATGGCCCACCTGTTGATCACTTTAGATAAGCTATTACCAGCAGGACAGTGGGGTGGGAGGAGGTATTGTTTCATATTCTCTGTGTGTATATAAAGTCTGCTGCAGTTTCCACGGTACACATCTGATGAAGTGAGCTGTGGCTCACGAAAGCTCATGCTCAAATAAATTGGTTAGTCTCTAAGGTGCCACAAGTACTCCTTTTCTTAGATTCTAACAGACAATTATCAGGTATTGTGGTTAAAACATAGGACTGATGTCAAGAGGTCTAGATTATATTCCTGACTCTGACAATTAAACATGCTAATGACAAGTACTATGTCTCAGCTTTGTGTTCTGAAGCCTCAGGACAAGGCACTCTCTAGGAACAATAAATTCTTAAAGGACTAGGGGCCCCAGTTTAGCAAAACACTGTTTTAGGCATGTGCCTAAATTCCATTGAAGCCTTAAGGATGTGTTTTAAATGCCTTTCTGAATCAGGGGATGCGCTAACCCCTTCCACACATCTGAGAAAATCAAAGAGCACAATCTGGTAACATGCAGAGATCTGGAGAAGTGTTCAATTTATGCTGCTGTTTTTTTTTTTAAATATTTGAAAGGGCAGCCGTGTTTGGCCCTTAGAGCATATTCTGTTTTTAGCTACTTTCGGTATTTAACTCTGTAGATACAAATATTTCCAAGGAAGAAGCCTGTTCAGTTGCCCAGCCTATTTTAGACCCAGGGCACTCCTGGCCCTACCCACATGTCATTGTGACAGGGGCTGATTGTCTGTCTTTCAGTAAAAAGGTTCTCTCCTTTGAAAGGTTAAGAAAAAACAACCATAATCCAGTCCAGAAAACACATCTGGGGAAGCTCCTCCTCCTAACCTTGTAAGGCTATGTGAAGAAAGTTCAGGGGGGAGAGAGGCAGAAAAAAACCCCAGCTCATTGTGAGTCAGGTTTGGCATCCTTTTCTGTATCTCATACACTAGATCCTGGGACACAGCTAAACCAGGGTGTGTGTGCACATGCACGGGTGCACACACACACAGCTTCCAGCTCATCACTGCACTTCCTGATCCTGGTGCTGCACTTTGCTGTTAAAATTAAAGCTGTTAAATTAAATTTGCTGTTAAAATTAAAGCTGTTAAATTAAAGCAGCCCACCTTTGTTTGTTCTATTCTTCCAAGCTGCAAACGCATGAGAGAGACTGGAAAAAAGCCACCAAAAAACGGATTAGCACAGGCATTCTGGCCATGCCCTTTTCTTCCAGCCACAATCCCTTTACCCAGGTATGTTATGCTGGCAACAGGAAGGGCAAACAGGATGGCTTTTCACTTTTGCATAACGTTTGTAGAGGCATCTTGTGAAAGCAATGCTTATAGAAATACAATACATTCTGCTGGGCCATCCCTACCTACAAACTTGTGGACAATTTGTAGACATTTAAGTGGTTCTATATCTGCATGACTTCACTAAAAGCTTTACAAAGCTCTTCAGTCAATTCACTGGTGACCTCGAAAGGTTCTACCACAGGTGCCAGTGATTACGCAGCATACGCATTACCATCCCAGGCACTAAAAACCTGACATATTGAAAAAGTCATTTACCCTGTTAAAACTCACAGGGAGAAATACAAACATTTCATATGCAAAAACAAGGCTGAAAGATTTTCAGCAGCCCAGAATGTAGAATCAATAGGCTGAAAATAAAGTAGACTTCCCTATTGGACAGGCTTAGCAAAATGGACGTTACAATGAGAGACTTTGCAGATTTATTAATTGAAGTCACGAACATTGAACAAGCTAGAGCAATGGAAAGATTGATTATTCTTTTTTACTGTCATCGTTTGCTATTTGTATAAAAAGGTTTCGCTTCAGCAGGGGAAGCCAAACAATAGGTTGTACCTATCCCGAGGCTATTCTCTTCATTTGCTATCACATTGTAACGCTTCAGGCATTGGCCTTTCTGCCCACCTGCCATGGAAATATTACCAGGGGGTGATGGAATACAGGCAGCACAATATATGGACACTGGCGAGGGAATGCTTGTCTCTAACAGATGGCAGAATGTTTGTTTTCTGAGAAATCGCTGATCATTTATCTTTTTGAACATAGCTGTCTAATAGCAAACTGTCCACCCCCTGCCTTACAGTTTAGTTGGTGAGTGTTGGAAATTGCTGTTTTTTTGGTAAACGTTTAGACTTTCTCGCTCCTGAAGTGCTAATATTGCAAACCCAAGCATTCAAACCTCATGAGTCAGGCCCCTAAAAAATCATGAATAGGATTAAAATCATGAGGTTTATTTAAAATTTTGGGGGTAGGTTCTTTTTTATTTGTCTTTGGATTTTTGAACCACATTAGAGTGACTCTTCAAGATTTTCCTCTAACTATGAGGGCTAGAAACTTACTAGTTTTTAAAATGAAAGGTGAGACTTCATAGTCACCTGACTCCAAGAGAGTGGAGCTTTAAGAAAAACACCAGATATCACAACAAAAGACCAAGGGTAGGCGACATTAAATTGTAAATGTTGCTGCAGGATTTGGTAATAAAACGTACATATAACAGTGGAGAAACTCGCTGATATAGCTGCATAGTACGTTTGTCCTGCTTTGCAACTGTGAACTGGTGGAGTGACTCATCAGAAACAAACATAACTGATGTCAAGAGATAATGTACATAGCCAGAAATCAAAACAAGTTAATATAGGCCAAAAACCATATTATGTGAACCAGGGATGATAACTGCCCGATATGTGCTGTCCTTTGCAATATAAAGCCCATTGTAACAGAGAAATTGTCTTTGGGCATGTGGGCTCAGCCCACTGTGTGTTGTGGGCCCTCTAAAACTGGGAGTTGTAGTCTCAGGCCATGTGTCTGGGAGAATCATGTGACCTATAGGGAAACCAGTTATAACTTAGGCTTCCTGCCTTTGAGGCACAGAAGAGAGCCAGAGTCAGGGAATGAACTGGGAGGAGGAAGAGCTCTCTATGTAGGTCAGGTGGCTAGTCTGGTAATTGGTGAAGTCTTAGTGTGGGTCTTTCCATTGTAATCCATCAGCCCTCTGCCTGGCTATGGAGCCTGTAGGTGGCTCCACTGAAAACCCTAGGAGAAGGCCTTCAGAGAAGCCTGCATCAAGGGATAAGAGACTATTTGAGCCAAGCAGAAAGCTGATTGTAGAGCCCAGAGGGGGCTGTGAGACCCTTCAAAGGGAGAGAGAAAGGACTCCACTCCAAAGGGCAGATGTGAACCCCCACTCCTGCCCAACGAGGGCAAGTGCTTATACTTGTGTGTTTTTAATAAACCTGATTCCAAGAAGGGCCAGTTATTTGAACTACACGGGATTGTGTGCATTCACAAGGGAATCAAATCGGGGGAATATGTAGCAGCAGATATGAGATGACAGGGTAGGATGATACCCACACAAAGAATACAAGTATGATTTCAAAATAAAGCCTTTCAGTAATTCATGAAAGGAATTGATGAATTTTGTTTCATGCCTTGAGAACACATTAAACTGAATGCTTTAGTTTCATATGGTTATATTTTATATCACAAAGTGTCAGAGAGGAATAACTTTCCTTTACATAATTAAAATGTAATATGAAATCCATACTAAATCCTTGCATTCAAAATGAATTGCAGCATCATAGATGTCTGCCACCAGCAGTGTGCAACGTGAAGTTGTGTTAACACAGAACATCACTTGAAGCCGCTGCAATCACCATCTTTATCTCCCACTCACAAATTCAGGACTTCCCTGGAAAGATGGGCAACCTCCCAAAGACAAAACTGAATATGTTGGGTATCAATATGTCCTAAAATCAGCACTAGGGATAAGGAAAGTTGCTACAGCACAGCTCACAAAGAAATGGCGGAGAGAATATAAGTGTTTTTCAATTGGAGTAGAAAGACTTAGCTTATTTTTAAGGGAGGTATTATGGGAATAGGCACAGATGGGTGGGACAGTCCACATGAGGTGAATAATACAGCTGAAAACTCTGAGGTTCTGCTCATGGAGTTTACTCCCACTGGAGCAGAGAGATGATGTGGAATAGTCTACCATGTGCAGTAGAAGCTAAGCCTGCAAACTCCATAGAAAACAAGGGCCAAATGCATGAACTCAGGAATCACCCATGCTTGTTGCAAGGTCCTCTCTTTTCCCACAGAAGCCCGACTCCTTTAGGAACCAGATTGATGGTAGAATCCTCCATGGCTGTACGATACCTGTCAAGAGAAAGAATGGAAGACATGGGTGCTTATGGGGAGAAGTTTAAAAACGTTTTCTAGTGAAAAATCCAACAGGTCCGGGGGGGGAGGGGGCGGAGATGGCGGGAGAAGAGTCAGAGAGTGGTTCCTACAACAGCATCCAAATCTGCAGATCCCCGTTTACCTGGAGTTGCTGGAGAAGTGCTCGATGGATTCGAAGTGTGCAGAGAGGGGGATAGGGAGCAGAGGAAACTGCATGAGTGGCTGTTCTGCCCTGCCATGCACTCTGTTCTAGTTTTCCTGCTTTTACAGCCCTCTGCTAGTAGACTGGAGGGCGAGGAATGGGCCAAATGTTTGCAACAAAATAGCTCCAAAATCAGAAATGCCACACAAAAAACAGTTTTATTACCTTGGTCTAATTTCTTAGGGCCTAATTCAGCTGCCATTAATGTCAGTGATGAAATTCCCATACTCCAGGTCCTGATCCTGCAATCCAATCCACATGGGCAGACACTTGCATCCCTGTGGAGTCCCACTAAAGTCCATGGGGCTCCTCACAGGCGCAAGAATCTGTCTATATGGATTTTATTGCAAGATTGGGGCCTTAATAGTTACAACTCAGATCATAAATAATTGTATCCAGTTGATATAACCTATACAGATAATTTCAACTTTCAATGCACTCGCTCAGATAAACCTTAAAACAAACCTGACATCAGCACTAGTTTATGGAGCTCTACTTGATTAATAGATTAAGGACAAAAGGGAATACGGTAATCATCTAGTCTGATCACCTGCATAACACAGCTCATACAACTTCCCAAAATAATATAGATGAAAATGAGGTCCATTATGGTGGTGTCAATAACATTTCCCTTGCTACTAAGTGTCACATGACATCATCATTAGTTTATACACTTACATAACCTACATTTTTAAAGCTATTAAAAAAAACTTTAAACAAAAGACAAAATTGTTTAAAAGATTTAGTGCCTCCTTGGAAAAACAGTCAAACATTTCAAAAGCATCTGCTCTAACAACAACAAAACTGTAGCTTTAGTTCATCTTCTCAATTTATAAGAACTTGACACATGGTATTTCCATCACATTGTGGAGTATAGATTTGATTCTTTTTTTGCATGTTGTGCCAAATTAACAGCTCCAAATAGTAATTAGAAGGATCCAGAAGTAGATATTGAAGCATAACATAAATAAGTGTATCATTTACAAGGTGTTAAAGCTGTAGATTATGATCCAGTAAGAGACCTAATTTACACTTTGATTTACATGCGATTATCGCTAATTAAGTGAAACACGCAAGTTGCTCTGAGGGATATCATGTAAAAGCAGCAGAATTATTATTATCTCTACATTTTTCTACTGCACACTAAAGCATGCTGGAAACAACAAATTCAGAACAAACATAGTAAGAAACTTCAGAGTGCAAATTACATAGTTATTTAAGAGCAATTTGCATTTCTTTGGTTAGGTACAAATCAGAATGAGCCAGATTTTGTTCTCCCTACTCAGGCAAAATGCCCTCTCATTTAGGGGCTGAACCTGCATGATAGGGCCAGATTTTTAAAGGGATTTAGGTGTTGCTTTGTTGAGAAAAGCTGGTCAGCCCACCACCCAGTAGAATTTTCAGCCCTGAGTTAGGCGGCTCCATGCTGTAGAGTGCACGGGGATAGCTAAGCACCTAAGAAAGGGATTTTCAGAAGCTGGCTAGCTGAGTGGAGAAACTGCCTCAGCGAGTCAGGAGTGAATGCCAAGAAGAGAGGTGGAGATAGTAGAGGAGCTTAGGTGATTAAAGTAGTGCACCTGGCTGATGGGACCGAGACAGGTGCCTACCTCTGCTTGTGATTCTCAGCTGCAGGCCCTCCCCTGCAGTTAGGCACTTAAGCCAGGTCAGTCGCTTAGCTAGTTCATACCCTAGCAAATAAAACACGCAATCTCTCTCTCAAGTTCATCCTATGTTTCCCTGTGCCCCTGACTGTCTAATGTGTGGGTGCTGTGCTACTCCTACTGGCGGCTTCCCTCTAGCCTACTTGCTGCAGAGTTTGACAGGTAATCAGATTTTAGGCATGCTCAGAGAGGCTGAGATCAAGCTACAGGATTGGGCATACCGAGAGAGAGAGAGAGAGAGGTGTTCCCCTGCCTAACAAAAATCGCATGTCAGAGCTTGGGCTTTGGCTAAGGCTCTGAGCAGCTTGCTAGCAGTGAGGTGGAGCGAGCAGCTCGTTAGCAGTGAGCCTGCCAGAAAATAAAGAATACTTTTTTCCCCCCGGAAACAGAGCACTTTGATTCAATTACAGTAATATGTGGATAATTTTCATTTTCGAGAAGTCACGTATAATTCAAAACAGTAAAGTGTGGGGGAGAAAATTGGGGTAGGGAAGAGCTAAATGTGAACACAGTGGTATGCGTTATGTGATTGTGTGTTTATTAAGACATTTAAATGCTTTATATATAAAGAATTTCCCTTTGTGATTTGGGGCCACGACTCATGCCACTGTTTATGCAACGTGCAAGCCTAATGTGAGAGGAGCCTCTGAGGACTCTTGGATTTGTTTAGAACATATCTTTAGCAGGTTACCTGATCTAAAAGAAGTCTCCCATAAGTAACGTTTCAACATATTAATGAACATCAAATGTGGTAGTTTGTTCATGATCGGCTTTACTATTTTAATCAAGACTTACTTGACTCGCTCCAAAGCAATGCTTGCTTGGAATAATTTTATTAAAAGTAAAGTAACAACAACAGTGAATAGAACTTAGGAATTCATCCACAGAACTCCAAATGATTCATATAGGTGAGTAAGCAAAGTGTATCCCCACTTTGAAGTTGGAAAACAAAGGCACAGAGTATCTCAGTGACTTGCCCAAGTTAATCCAACATGTCAATGGAAGAATTAGAGAGACACAAGACCACATTGCTGCCTAACCTGGAAGTCTACAAATTCAGCACAATGATTAAGTCATACCTTTGAACATGTGAAACACATATTCAGTATTCAAGACCACCAATTGGCTTGCATCTTAAGATTTCCATCCTTTAATAAAGATACATATTGAGCCCCAAACAGACTGGCAGTGTCCATTTACTTGCACAACGGACGACTGCAACACTTTGTTCTCAATTTGTAAATAAAAGCTAGTATGTACGTATGATGCATTCTGTAATGGGGATGGGTTTGGCAGCAATGTAGATTTCCATGGAAGAAAAGTGCACTTGTGAACGACTAGAACAATAATTTTCATAATCTAGCATTTCACGTTTGCAGAGGCCATCTAGTAGCAAGAAACAATATCGTATTATGGGAACAGAAGTAGGATTCTGTAGTGTCACGGAACACTGTTACAATTCTCTACTGGCAAATATTCCCTGCAATCTGAACAACAAAGAAATCCCTGATGACTTGAATAACAAAGGAACACTCACTCATTCAAAAGTAAGTACAAAACTTTTTTTAAAATCCCAGAATTTACATAAATGTTTGTATTCCCTAAACCTGGCTAAATGCTGCTAGCAAAGAGTGCTTTATTTAAAACATAGGTGAGATTGCCGAGTGCCTCACAACAGGGCAATATTTCCCTAACCCACTCTTTTTGATCCTCAAATGATCTTTGCTATAAATATCCAGCCCAAATCTCCTCACAAGTGATGCATAATCCACCGTTATAATTTTTAAAAGAACCTGTTAGCAGTGCAAAGACTTAACCCATCCCACCCCACAGAACCAGCATCTATTTTATGTAATTTCTTGGGCTACTGCCATATTATGTAGCATCCCTGTTACTTCCAGACACACTGAACACTGGTACAATTAGATCATGAGATATCATATCAACAAAACCCAAGTCTGAGAAGTATAATGCACAGTGTATACATCAGCAGTTCTCAAACTGTGGGTCAGGACCCCTATTTTAATGGGGTTGCCAGGGCTAGCGTTAGACTTGCTGAGGCCTGGGGGTGAAGCTGAAGTCCAAGCCCCACCACCCAAGCCCGAATCCGAATTCCATTGGCTTCAGCCCTGGGTGGTGGGGCTCAGGTTACAGGCCTCCTCTGGGGCTGAATCCCTTGGGCTTCAGCTTTGGTCCCTCTGCCTGGGATGATGGGGCTCAGGCTTTGGCCTGTGTCCCCCCACCAGGGGTGGTGAAGCTTGGGCAGGCTCAAGCTTTGGTCCCCCTCCTGGTGTTGTGTAGTATTTTTTATTGTTAGAAGGGGTCGTGGTGCGATGAAGTTTGAGAACCCCCTGGTATAGATAATTATAGCTATACAGATATCAATATATCATTTACAGATTTTGTTGTTGTTTTGGGTCAGGCGCTATATTTAGTAAAGTTTCGTATAAATGACAATATGTAGAAAGTGAGCCCTTTGACCTATGGATAGAAGCAGAACCGAACATAATTCTAATTCCTTATTATGAATTTGTGGATTATGGAGTTAGAGGAAACTAATGACAGAAAACAGTATTCTCTTGTGGTTATAATGGAGAGGGAGTCAGGAAATGTATGATCTGTTTCTAGTGTTGCAACTGACTCACTGGACAAGTCATTGACCTACTCAGTCTCAGCCCCCATCTGTAAAACAGGAAGGACAATACCCAGTTTTCTATCTTAGAGATCCTCAGATGAACAGTGTTATAAAAGTATTACATTCCTTGAGTAAGTATTTGAAACAGCATTCTGCCGCAAATTGCTGGAGGCAATAACTGCACAATCCAATGTTGAATATATTTATAGGAACAGCTAAACAACTGTGATATTTTGTGAAGGCCCCAACCTGCCATTTCCCACCCCCAACCCTCCTTTAGAGCACGGGATTTGCAAAACCATAGGTACAGCACATGTAGGGTTCGATTCCCATATACACAAAGGCCCCTTTACACTACTCTGGTATCAGTATAACTTATACCCACTTCAAGACCCTTTGACACTGAATAGTGCAAAGACACCTTCATGTGAAAACCAGGCCATACAATCATAAGAAAATACAGTATCTTCTCAAGTTC